GGAACGGTGGGGACCCCCCCTCTGATCCCCCCATCCTGCCCCCCGGCCCGCAGAGCCTCACCTACCCTCCCGGCGGGGCCGCCCCCGCCGGGCTCATCCCGCCGCATCTGTGCGCTCGGCAGCCGCGGTCCCGTCCCACCCTCCCGTGACCCCCCGTCCCGCCGCCGGTGTGCGGGAGGACCGCGGGAGTACCACGGGACGTTCGCGGAGCGCAGCGGAGCCGGCGGCGGGGCCGGCGCGGCGCGGACTGAGCGCGGCCCGCGGGGCCGGGGCGGGGGAGGCCGGGGGCGGTCGCAGGTTGCACAACCCGCCCGTCGCGGCCAGGAGATTCCTGAGCGGCGAAGTCAGAGCGGCCCGGCCTGCCCCGACACCGGGCACCGGGCCCTCAGCAGCCGGCGGCGACCGGTGCCGGCCGGGCAGGGCCCCTCTCGGGGGGCACCGTGGACCTACAGCCTCGGAGATGGGGACAGAGGGGGCTGGAAGGGGCATAGTGACCACAGAGACCCCGGAGGAGAAGTAGGATGCCTAATCCCGTGGGGACACCAGGGATGGGGGGTCAGGTACGGATGGGTGACAGTGGCAGTGCCAAGAGGACAGGGAGAGCCCCCAAACCAGAACCTCTGGTCCTGGGGTGCAGCTCCAGCATGGAGCTCCCGTGGGTGTCCCACCTAAATTGCATAGGAGCCACACAAGGTCCTCTGCCCACACTCCTTCTCTCCAGAGAAGCACCATTAAGACCCTTACCCACCCATGGGGTCATGCACCTCTGCCCTCACCCAGACGGGCACAAGCCACCGCCAGGTCCCTGGGGCCAGCAGGGCCACAGTGCAGCAGGGGAGCCACGGGCAGGGGAGTATCTCAGGTACCAGGTACCCACTGTGCAGTGCCCCATCTCTTGCCTACCCCCTTTGACTCCTACTTTTCCCATCACTGCTGCTGGTGACGGGCCATGCACCTCACACCTCCAGGAAGGGGATTTTTGGGCAGTTCCATCAGTGCTCAGGTAAAGCTGCAGCTGCGTTTGGCACCTCCCTGCTGCAAAGGTGCCGCCCTCCATCCCCCGGGAAACCACCCTGGATCCCCTGGGAAACACTTCCTTGTTTGTGCTCCATCACGGTGAGGTGGTACCTGTGTGTCTTCCAGGGTATCCCTGAGGGAGGGGAAATGTCCCACAGGCAACACTGTGGCCCCTCAGACCCCACACTCCAGTCCGGGAAGGCTCCGGCTGCGCTGTTGTTGTTTTGAAGGCCAAGTCTCTCCCGCTGACACCCTGGAATTAGTTTTTCTTCCAGAGTCCTTAAAAATATCCTGGATTCCTGACATCAGGACTTGTCTTCCAATGGTGCTTCCAAGCCACCGGGCCTGGGGCCAGCTGTGAGCGCCGAGGGACAGAGGCCGTCCAGCTCCCGTGCTCCTCCGAGATCACAGCGGTGCTGGGAAGGAGTATGGTGCTGAGGAAGATCACAGCCCCTGCCATGGCTGAGTTGTTACTTGCCACTTCCACGGTGGAATGATGCTCAGCAGGGCACAGGCAGGGCACAAACACTGCCTTGCCTCAGCAATGCTCCCAGTGGCTTCGGCGCATGTTTCTGTGCACAGCCAGGAGCGTGGGAAGGGTCTTTCAGGGACCTCCAGCAGCTGTGACCCTACAGAACCCCACAGCTGAGGACTGGGCTGTGGCGAGGGTCCCATGGCGAGGTACTATCCCAGACAGGATTTCCCTGTGCATCCCCAGGACAGCACGTGGCCCCAGAAAACTTCTGGCTGAAACCTGTGACCCACTCCTGGCTTTGCCAAGAGGCATGCTGGCACCGTGGGAATTTGGGGTGGTTCGGGGGGGGTGCTGAGCCAGTGTGGCTGGCGGGGGGTGCAGGGAGAGGTGCTGCTCCCCACCCCAAAGGCCAGGCAGCTGCCCACTGGCCGCACACACTGCTGCTGCCATCTGACAGCTCTTGGCGAAACGGCCTTTTGTGATTCAGCCGTGTTTATCCCAGCCCGCGGCCCGGCCCAGCGTGGGTTTCCATGGAAAACTTCCATCCAAAACAAGGAGAGAAGGAGCTACAGCAGGAGTGACTCAGCCACAACTGGAAGCTTCTGCGGGTGAAGCAGGGAAGGGGGGGCTGTTCCCAACGGCTTGGTCCTGCTCCAGCAGCAGGGCCTGGGGCTGGCCCCTGGCTCTCCCCTGCCCTGCCTGTGCTGCTGCCTCCTCGCAGGCAGGAGCCGGGCAGCTCTGGGGGAAACCGCATTGTATGACAGCCTGCAAAACACATCACCCTCCCAAAGCGCCCCCTCCCCACGCCAGCACCAGGCCCTGCTGGTGGAGACGGGAGGAAGAGCGTGAGATGAGTAAGGTTCAAACCCTGCCACGATCCGCACCCGATGCCAGGCTTGGTGGGACGTCTCTTTCTCCAGCGCTGCCCACAGGATCCCCTGCCTGTGCCTGGTGTGCCCCATGTGGGTGATGGCAGGGCGGGCAGCGGAGGAGATCCCGAGTTGACGGTGTCACAGGGAGAAGGGGTGCGGAGAGCTGGGGAAGAGGTGGTGGGAGTTTGTGGGGACGCAGCAGCACTGGCAGAGTCTCTGCCTGTGCTGGTCTTCTCCCACCCTCCCTAGGATGCTGGGAGAGGGCTGGGGGCTCTGCTCACCCAGGAGGGGGGAGCAAAGCCCTTCCCTGCCCAGCCCCAGCCCCCCGTGGCCACGGTAGGCTCCTCACAAGCAGGGCCATAGGCAGGGCCTATCCCTGGGGTCACCCAGGTGACTCCGATGGCTGTGTTGGGGTATGGAAAGGGCCCACCTGGGGAGAAGAGGGATGACATTCCCCCTGCCAAAACACCCAGGCTCCCAGTGCTGCTGGGTAACACCAGTGGCTGTCTCCAGGGCCCCCTTGTCCCAAGTCAGTGGCATGGCTGCCACCCAGAGCCTGGGCTGCTCCATCACCCCCTCGCTCAGCAACAGCAACTGCTCCAGACTGTTTTGGGGGAAAAACCGACTCCCCTGGGCGGGTGGGAGAAGAGGAAACCCCCCAACAGCAAAGTGAATGAGGGATGGGTGGACATCAGTCAGTCTTGTCTCCAGGCAGCTGAGCAGTGTGACTGCATCCCAAGGACAGACTTGGATCTGCAAGAGAGGCAGAGGCCAGCTCGAGGGCATCTCGCCAGCAGAAAAGGAGGGAGAGGGAAGGATTCCCAAGGCAAACCCCTCCGTCCGGCAGGGACACGCAGTGACAGCCGCAGGAGGCGCTTCCCTCCTCCCATCACACCGGGGCCCAGCGGGACCTCCCTCCGCTGCTCACACAGGCACCTCCCGCGGACAAGGGTCGCGTTTCTCTCTTTTTATTAATTTATTTAAACCCGGTACAGGAGCCAACCGGCAGAAGCCATCTTTAAGCAGACCCTGGGAAGAGAGAGGCAGGTACCGCACCACCCCAGCTCAGGTCACCCCTCCCTCCCCAGCCCACCCGAGGGAGCCGCCGCAGAGCCGGCACCGCGCTGCTCACTCACCGCACCCTGGGCTCCTTCCCCATCCCGCCGCCAGCGAGCTGCCAAGTGCCTCCCTGTGCCCGGGAGCTGCCGGGGGTCGGCGGTGCGGGGCCGCAGTGCGGGCGGGCGGCCATGGCTGCGGTGCCTCCGCCGCGCCGGGCGATCGGCGCGGGGCCGGAGCTCGGCGGTAATTAAAGAGCCACCGGCGGGCTTGGCGAGCGCGGCTGCTGCCGTCCCTTCACGGCTGCCCAGGGCTGAAGGGGCAGAGCAGAGGGACAAAAGCGCCAGTGCTTTGTCGCAGCTGGTCACCGTGTTTGGCCGGAGCTGCTGCTGCTGCTGCAACCCTCCCCCAAAAACAGCCTCTCTGATGTGGTCACCAAGGAGTGCAGACACCCCACACCTTAAAATGAGCTGTGACACAGCCCAGCTGAAGTGACCAAGCCGGCCACCACTGCCCAAACTCCCCCCACAACACCCCCAGGACACCAGCCTGGGGCTGGGCTGCAGAGAAACTGCCTCATCCTCCTGACACCGCCACCATTGTGCTGCTGAGTAACCAGCAACAAACCAAAAGGTAAAAACCTCCCAGGGCTGAGAACCACTCATTTCTGCTGCGTTGGTTTAACCTATGGCAGCTCCCAGGCCTGTTCCCAGCTGAGGGAACATGGGACGGGCTTCAGCCTCTGCCCCTCTGCCTGCTCCTGTTATCCTCTGGCCCTTGCATGGATGACACTGCGCTGCCCTGCTGCTCAGGCAGGGGGTAAATGAAGAATTTACACCCAATTTCTCTCTTTTGCCAACCATAAACCCCTAAGGAAAGCTGTGGTTAGAGAAAACCTCGAAGAACAGCCCTGGCCTGACGCTGGTGCCCGGCCTGCCCCAGCACTGCACTGGGAAGCAGTCAAGCAGGGCACCTTCACCTGTAACAGCAATAAAGGTTCCCATGTGCTTCTGGAAAATATTATCAGAGCCAGAAACTGAGTGACAAGTTTTTCTTGTTCATGGAGGCACTTTGTACAGGGAAGATTCAACACATGTACTGAACCAGCAGACACTTCACTCTCGAAACAAACACCATCCAGGGGTGAGAGGGTTTTCCAGATCCAGACCAGCTGGAAGCTTGGCTTAATAGATATTAAAACCCACGAATCTTTTGGGGGTAACAGCTGCAGAAGCTCTGTGACCTTCAGACACTTCCTGTGGCTGAGCTGAGGGACTCTGATTTTGAGCAGCTACTCCAGTCTCTGGAAGCACTTCACACACAGAGCAGTGTCACCCTCCTGCCCTCAATCCCCCCAGAGTCACACTACATCTCATACAATGTTATATACATATATATGTATATAATTTTATATATATATATGATTATATGTTATTTATATATTATATACTCATGTATACAACAAAGCTGAAATAAAAAGGGAGATAAAGAACCACTTAGCTGGGCCCTGGGTGAACACTGCAGAGCACAGTGGTGTAGGGAGCTGCTGATGACTCTGGGGGCACCGAAACAGTCATGGGTGTCTACACATGGCTCACCAGAGCCCCCTTTATTACACAGACCGTTCTGAAACCTCCCCAACCCCTGGGGACTCGGCCTGCCCCTGCCCGGGCCGGAAGCGTTCCAAGAATTCCAGGTAGGCTTTCTTCTGCGCCGCAGCCGCGGGGATGAAGTGCCCGCCAGGGTGGGCGAGCACCACTGGCTCCACGAAGCACCGGGCCAGCTCCATGCTGAGCGGGGCCGCGATCACGGCGTCCGTGTCCCCCACGACGTGCAGCGTGGGGAGGGCGATGGGGTCGCTGTAGAAGTGCCCGTGTGCCGGGGCGCGACTGGCGAACCCGGCCACCAGCACAGCGAAGGCCACGGGGAAGCGCGGGTCGCCGCGGGCCCGCAGCGCGCACACCATGGCGGCCAGCGCCGCGCCCTGGCTGAACCCCAGTAGCCCGTCGAACGGTCCCTGCTCCGCCAGTGCCGCCGCCACGGCCGACAGAGACTCCTCCAGCCCCTCCGGCGCCGCCGCCGCCTCGCCCGCCTCGAACGTGCCGGGCCCCGAGAACCACCAGCCGCGGGGCGGGTCGTCCCCGTCGGAGTCGTCCTGGGCGGCGGAGGACACGGGGTGCGGAGCGTCAATGGGAAGCAGCTCTGCGCGGCCGCGCAGGGCCTTGCGGAGCGCGCCGGTGCGCTGGTGGAGGCGGCGGGCGCTCTGCCGGTACCCGTGCAGCGCCAGCAGCCGCAGCGGCCGCGCCTCCGCCGCCATGGCCGCCGCCACTGTGAGCGCCGCTTCCGCCTTCCCGCCGAAACACCGCGCGCTGATTGGCCGGGGGAGGGGAGAGGGCGGAGCGGCGCCGCGGAGGTGGCAGCGCGCCCCCTGGCGGCGGGAGGCCGCAGGGCAGGGGAAGACGGGGCGGTCCCGATGTGTCGGGACGGGACGGGACCCCCGGTGCGACCGGGGCTGCAGCACTGCCTGGCCTTGCAGGGGGTCACTCCCCGCGGGTAGCCGGGGCGGTCCGTGCGGGCAGCGGTGTCGTCGAGTTACGGGGTGCGTCCGCATCCATTCCAGCGCAGGTACCGGGGGAGTGCCCCGGTGGTGCTTACCCTGGCAGGAGGCAGCGCCTGTGCCCCCCCCGGCCCTGCCCACGCCGGGTCCCGGAGCGCGGCGGCTGCAGGACCGGGTGCAGGCTGCCCTCACGAGGCTGCGGAGTCCCCGATGCTTGGACTCTCCCCACCCTCTGGCGGGGCGGAGGGCGCGGGTGGCTTCCCCTGCAATGAAAAGGGGGTTAAGGAGAGGTAAAGGGATGTCCCATTCCCTGCCTGACCTGCGATGAGCCAGCCCGTGCTCAGCCCACAGCACCCCGCGGGGCACTCTGGGGGGACCGGACCCCCAGCTCTGGGAGCCGTGGGGCCAGGCGGGCGCTCAGCCCGGCAAGTACTGAGAGGGGGGCTCTGGTAGACCCCGCAAGCCAGGCTGGCAACGGCCTCGTTCCTGTTCGCCGGGAACGAAACCACGCGGTGGCGCTTTTGGCACGCGGCACCGGCCACCAAACTGCACCGGGCGCTGCTCCCCCCGCCCGTCCCCGACACCGAGAGAGAAGGGACCCGCTGCTGCCCCGGTGACCCCCCCGCCGCCCACCTGTGCCGGCCGCCCGCGGCGCGAGGGCTGTGTGCCACCGTGGTTCGCCGTCCACGGCCCCAGGGACTGGCTGGCGTAGAAGTCCATGGGATAAGGCTGCTCCCACTCGATGTCCTGGAGAGCCACCGCAGCCTGTGAAGGGGACAGGGAGCCGTGACTGTGATGGGGGGGCTGGCAGTGCTGGGAGAGGTCCCAGCACAGTGGCTTGGTGTGCCGAGCAGGGCATTGCTGGAGCAAAGCTCGAGGCACAGGGCATCCACTGGTTTCACAAGAGACTGGATATCCCAGTAGCCTGCCTGGACTGTGCAAGGAGCACATATGGAGACAGGAGGGAATGCTGCCTGGCTGCAGGGACATCCCCAAACCTGCCCCAAGCCAGGACTGCCCCCCCCAAAAACAAGAGCAGGGTGCTCACCTCGTAGGGTGTCAGCAGAGGCTTGCTGAAGGCTTCTCCCCAGTCAATGGAGAGCCGGGGACAGGCTACCTGCACCCACCTGGAAGGGACACAGGTGACAACAATGGGGATGAGCATTTTGGGAAGAACAAGCCACAGTGAAGCCTGTCAGCAGCACCCCAGAAAGTCTGTGCTGTGCCACAGCCATCCTGGTAAGGACAGCCATGCCCCCTCCCTGCCCCGTGGGCACAGCTTGTGCAGGGGTGCACAGTGCTAACCCAGGTGACAGCAGGACAGACGTGGCAGGGATGGCTTCACGCAGGACTCAGAGGCCTGGACAGGGATGGGGCACCCTGGGGACCCCATGTAGGGGGCTGGAGGAGGGGTCAGCAGCACTCACGCATCCACATCTGGGAAGAGCTGCAACTTGCTGGGGAAGATCTCAGACAGCAGCACCCGCACGTAGGGCCGGCCCAGGGCACGGAGACGTGACTCCAGGTGCTGCGGGGGGAAAAGGCACCCGGGGGGGTTAGGGACCCCCATCAAGGCCCCCAAGCCCTGCCCACTGTCCCTTCCTGTCCATCAGACCCTCTGTGGGTCCCAGCTCTGCCCCACGGCCGTGTCCCCTTGGCAGTCGCAGGCCAGGAGCAGTGTCAGGGACTGCGGCCGTGGCTCCAGCTCCCGCCCAGCTCTCCCCAGCACGTGCCTCAGCCTAATGAAGTAATTACTGCTCAATGACAACAATCTGTTCTCGTTAGCGGCTGCCTGCCCTGGGACACCCGCCTGCCGTGGGCTGGCTGTGGCCAGAGCCTGCAGGAGGAGGAGAGGGGCCAGGGATGTCCTTGTCCATTGGAGCTGCCACTCAATGTCCCCTGCCCAGCCAGTCCTGGCCATGCCTTGTCCTGCCCCCACAGAACAGCAGCTGCAGGACCTGCTTTGCCCACTGGTCCCTTCACTACTCCAAACCTCACCTGCAGCTACCCTAAAATTTCTGGGTATGAGCAGGGCACCCCACGCCCATGGAGCAGGATACTGTTGTCCAGCTCCCCTCACCCAGCTGGGGTGCAGAAAGCACCAGCACAGCAGCTGAGCAGGGATGGTGAACCTGATCGGAAGTTCATCCAATTAAAACAAACCCAGGGAATTAATTGCCAACTGTCTGAGCGGGAGGGGATGGTCTCCAAGACTGGCCAGCTCTCCCCAGCAAGGGGCAGGTTTAATGAGCCCTTGTCCGGCCTCCCTCATCTGCTGCTAATTGCCCTGCTCGCTTAGCTTGGGGGCCAGTGGCCAGCGATGGGTTGCCAGCAGGGCCACGTCCACCCTCGCCCTGGCAGCAAGGGCACTGTCCCAGTGGTGCCATTGCTCACCAGTCCTTACCCCCACCCAGCAGCAGCACCCAGTGCCCCAGCAGGGGCCATGGGGAGGAGGGGGCTGGTACCTGCAGGATTTTGGGGGAGCCCTGACGCCCCAGCGTGCCCAGGATGAGCCCCCAGCAGCGGGCAGTGGTGGCAGCGCGGATGGCGTCCTGCCGAGCGCGGTGCATGCGCTCGTGGCTGTAGTGCTCCTGGGAGAACACCTTGCTGTAGGGGTCATACCTGCAAAGCACAGCCAGGCTCACACGCGCCCCATCACCGGCCCCCCCTCCACACTGGCCCCAAATGATGTCCGTCTCTCATTAGCACTAATTGCCTCCTACAGCATCTGTCCTCCTGGCTGATGTAGGACCAGCTCATTAGGGGACAAGGACAGGGACAAGTGTCCCACCACAGCACTCCAACACCCAGCACAGCCTGGGCTCTGCGCTCGGCTTCGTGCTCAGCTCCCCCCTCAACCCAGCTCATCAATTATGAAGAAATCTTTGATTTGTTGCTTTGTTTGACGAGGAGAATTTTAATCAAATCCCACTCGGGTTTCGGCAGCTTCACCAGCGCCATAAACCTGACGTGCGCCTCCCGTTCGTAACAAACGACCTACTAGGAAATTCAGATTCCGCCAAATGGGCCCAGCCTTTCACTCCTGATATTTCATCTGCTTTCAGCCGCCTCATCATCGCGCTTTATGGCCTCTGCCTGCAGCAGCCGGGCCTTAATGGCTGCACCTCCACGAGCTTTCACAGGTACTTGTCAAAATGTTTATATTCAGGCAGAGTAAATGGCTCGTGTTCATCTCCCTGCTGCACCTCCTCACCCACCCCCTCCTCACCCACCCCACGGCCTCTCACCTGCCTGTGCCTGCTGCAGGCAGCTGCCTGCCCAGCCATGGGGTATGGGGTGCTCCTGGCGTGGAGGGTGGGGACAGCTGGTCCCCGGTGTGCTGGGGGAGTTGGGGTGCTCCCCACCCACTCACACCCATGGGGGATTGGAGTGGGTGCCCGTACCTGTATGCAGGTATCCCCGGGTTGGCAATCATGATGGACTCCAGGTGGAAGCGCCCGTCGCCCAAATACCTGCCGAGAGGGGAGGGGGAGCTACAGCACATGGAAAACAGAGGCACCCATCCACGTGTCCATGGTTTCCCAAGCCACAGGTGTGTGGAGATACCAGGAATCCAAGCTCCCGTGGCGGGGCCCAGGGACAGCAGGCACAGCCAGGGCTCCCTGTCTCTGTGCAGCCCCCGGCACGGTGGGGCAGGAGAGCAGCCATGCTCAGAGCAAAGAGGAATGCTCACACAGGCACGGGGTGGCTGGGAGCTGCTCCATCTCAATGGCTGGTTCTAGACGTTGCTGCTTCCATTTCTAATCGGATTTCAAGTCAGCAATTACATTTCAAAGCCTTTCATTCAGCTGCCCTAATGGAGTGAGGGCTTGGAAAATGAATTCAGACGTAAAACTTGACTAGATTTTGCCCTTAATTGGAGAATGACATTTTGGGAGATCAAAGCTAATTTGTCTGCAAAAGTTAGCCCCAGAGACGGTGCACAGAAGAAAATAATAACGCAGGGAGGACGCAGGTAAGGCGGCCGGCTGGTACCGCACTGCCGCTCCTCTGGCAGTGGGAAGGACACGCTCTCACCAATGCAATGCCAGCCTGGCCACCCCTTCCTGCTCCTGATGCCCTTGGAGAGATGGAAAGCAGAGCTGGTGTGGCTCAAGGTGAAGCCAGAGCTCCCACTGTGATTGTCCAGCAATCACAAGCTTGTTTCCCTGCACAGCCGTGCTCAGAAAGGCACTCAGAAAGGCTCCCAGCAGCGCGGGTGAGAAGGAGTTCTTCAGGGCCCAAACCCACACCTGGGCTCCCCGGCTCCCTCCAAGGGTGGGGTCCTTGTATTTATTTATTCTGCAGCACACTGTATTCACAGTACATTAAGCATTTCCATTACCTAAAATAATTAGGTGATAGGAAGCGAAGTGCTCCCTCTAATTTGCTGTCCTTAAATAAAATTAATGTTGCTGTGATGTTGGGCCCCGGCCATTTGTCTTTTCCAATTATCCACCCGCCCTTCCATCTATTATCTATTCTGATATACGACTCAATTATTTCCTCTGTGCTACAAGCACACGCCACTTAAAGCAGCGTGAAGAGCTGGAGGGGGCCTGTCCCAGCCTGTGGATGTCCCCCACCACCCCCCTGCCTGAAGCTGGGCAGGGGGTACAAGAAGGTTGGGCAGCCTGGGCCAGGTAGGAGGGTCCTGGAAGACTCCAGGTACTTACACAATGGCATCTGTGTCCTTGGCGAGCCGGGGCGATGTGCAGCCCAGGATCTCTCCTGGGGACAGTGGCTTACACTGGGGCACACACACCTTGTACTGGGAGCGCAGCTCCTGTGACGCTGCCTGCAGGAGAGGTGAGGTTAGCAGGGACAGACCACGGCACAGAGGGTGGCAAAAGACCCTTGGAAACACCCTGGCCCTGGCAGTCCCAGCTGTTGCATCCCAGCACAGAACAGAGGAGGGGAGCCAGCCTGCTGGGGGCGGCACCAGTAACAGCCCCGCACAGCAGGGATGCTCAGCGAGGCTCAACAAACGTATCAATTAAAAGACAAGGGAAAAGGCTTAACGCTTGGATAGCCCCGTGTTTAGATAGACATGGCTCAAG